ACCGGCGTGAGCGCTTCCTTCTCGGGCTGGGGGTGCCGAGGAATCCTGCCATCTGTAGTTAGTTGGCGGAGTGGGGGCGGGGGCATGCGGAGGGGTAGTGGATGAGGAAGTGAGGAGCGAGAGCGCTACAATGGACGGGCTTGGGTTCCCCTGAAGAAACTGGGTTAGAGCCCGTGTGGTCGGGAGACACCATTCTTTCAGAGTGGCGTAAGGACCTTGCCCGGCGGAGGTAGAATGACGCATGGATACAGTGTGCGAGTATGAGATGTGCCCGCGGTGGAGTGGCCGGGGGGCGATTGATACACGTTTTAGGAGGCGGGGGGGAAGACGCAGACACATTGGAAGCAAGTATATGATTGGCGAGAGCATACTGAGTGGGAAAGACACCAGCTATTTATTATGCACCCAGGAAGGGTCCATGGAAGCTGAATTAAGACCTTGGAGGTAGAGGTAAACAAGGGTCAGAATCTGATGGCAGAGAAAAGTAAAGTGGTTACCCCCTGAGATTAATTGGGGGGCTGCTACTGTTTAAAAGGGGAAGGCGGGCTTTAAAGTTGGGCCCCTTTGTCTTTAGGAGCAGAACCAAGAATGAGGCAGGCTTGCTACCACAAAGTGGTTTCATACCTTTCGGAGGAGGAAATGGGATGGGGTAGACGTCTGAAATGAGCAGAAAAGTCACTTTAGTTGTTTAGCGAAGTGAAAGTATTGATGGGTGGAATGCCAGAGTTTAACAGGGACAGGGATCCGCACAACATGTGTGCCCCATGACTTTATATAGGGTAGTTGGAAGGATGTATATCAAGGCCCTTTTCTTCTCCTCATACCTGTTTATTGTTTAATCTGTCAGATAAACTTAATACACCTGCGGGAAAGATATGTGGTAGGTAGATGCTGTAGAGGGGTGGGTATGGAAACGTCATCAGGATAGTCCTTTTTAATTTTAAGGAATTTGCAGTTTAGTATACATTAGGCAAGTAAATAAGCAACAGCACAGGGTGAAGATGGTGTCATGAAAGATGCCAGGTGTTATAAAAGTCCAAAGGCAGGAGATTACTTGAGCAGTTGGTGGGAATCAGGAAAAATGTCCTTTGCTCATTTACTCATTCATCCACTCATGAGTCATCATCAGTCATTTTGTTGATCACCTATATAGGAGAACTTATACCAGCTGCTGTGAATAGAAAAGGAAGAACTCCACCCACTTCTTACAGAGTTTACAGTTTGTTAGGCTTCAAGGAGAAAATGGTATTTAAAATGGTCCTGAAGGATAAACAGTATCCAATAATTTATCCAAATTATTTATCTAATATTAAAAGTATGGGTTGAGAAGAGTGGAATCCAAATGAAAGGAAACTGAGCAGAGATATGTAGATAGGGAGGTTGAAGGCTTGGAGAGGTGTTCAGTCCAGTTATACAAGAGCAGAGAGAGATGCAACTGGAAAAACATATAGTTTTATAAGTTAAGTTTTATACCTTCCTTTTACAGATGAGGAAATATAGCCCAAAGAAGTTAAAGTTGTTGAGGATTATATATAAGCTGGTATGTGGAAGCTCTGTAACTCAAATGTAGGTCTTTTAAGTACAAATCAGCTGCATTGTGCAAAATGTCTGGGTTCATCCATTCTTTGCACAAATATGTATTGAGGCACTGAGGATATTGTGGTGAGCAAAATGAACAGATGAATAGGTTTATCAGGTGGTGACAATACTAGGAAGAAAAATAAAGCAAGAGGGGGTGACCACTTGATAAGGTGCCCATATTTGAGAGGGTCTTGACTCTCATGATAGTTTATAGTTAAAATGAATGGGCAATAGAGAATCTGAGTTGACTTGTTTAGAAGGAAATTCACATGTTCATAGCTATGTATTAGAAAGATGAACCTTTCTAGTGTAATGGGCAGTTAAGGCCAGAAATAAGGTGGTGGAAGTGGGACTAGAAAGGTATGATAAAAAGCAGATCAGGAGAGTGGGAATATTAATGGGAAGATCAATTGGCTTTGAGGGGTTTCTGTGTTAATATATATCTTATATTTTGTAACTCATCATGGTCCAGAAGACTTATCCTTAAGATGTGAAATCAATGGTCAGCAGCTGGAGATGAATTCTTAGAAGAAGGGAGAAAGAATAAAAGTGAACGCAGTGTTTGAATAACCTTTATTTTCCAGCTAAAGTTGAACAGGCAAAATGGAGCTGGCATAAGACCTGGAGTCCCTTAGAGCAACAGTCGCCAACCGGTGGTCCAAGAGGTCTGAAAGGTTGGCCACTGCTGCCTTAGAGGTTCCTGGGAGCCAATCTTTTCTCAATCTTGCACATCTGTCCTACATAAATAAAGCAAGTCTTAGGGCTAATAGTAGTCTGGGGCAAGCCTTTCTAATAAAGAAAGGCTTCCATCAGCTCAAATGTTCCCTCTCCCTTTAAGGTAATCATTCTGCTAAAAATTTGGTGTGGTTAGACTAGAGAATGTCTTCAAGGAAGCATTATGTTCACTTTTCTTTGATGAAAAAGGAATTGTTGGTTTTTATAGACAACTCAGGGAGGATGCTGGGTAGTGCCGAATGAGTATAGTTGAGAGTATAGCATTTATTCATTGCGACCTTGACTTTAGGTCTTGTCTACCTTTGTCAGTATAAGACCATGACTGGGCAACTTTTAAACTGCATAGCTACTGATCTTCCCCATGTAGATGAAAATTAGTTTTGTCTCAGCTGGATTAATTTTTAGAGCAAGTGAGGTCGGTGTCTCACATTGAAATGGTGGGGTGGTGGCAAACCAGGAGCAAGATGGTAGTTTCAAAAGCATAAGAAATGAGGATATGAGGTAAGAAGCAGCAGTAAGACAAGGAAAGAAAAGGGATTCAACATCAAGTGGACCGAATTAGTCTTGAGTTGGTAGAAATAGAGCAGATTTGAAAGATAGGAAAAACTGTTTTCTGTATGGGAAAGGAGGTGGTGATCTGAGCAAGAAAATAAGAAACTTTTTTTGTTAGAAGGGATGTGTCATTTAAAAAAAAATAGCGACTGACAAGACTCCTATCCAAATGAATAAGTTGAGAGCACTTTCCTGCACTTTATAAAATAAGACATGGTCTTAAATATAGGGGTTCTAGACTGTAATTGGAAATTTATTACCCAATTTGAAAAAAAATAGTATTTTTCCTTGATTTATGACAAAATGGAAAGATTTTTAAAGTCTAACACCTGTTGTAAAAGAAAAGGGTGTATTGAATATAGTTGATATGATAAGGGTGGGAGAAGGGTGAGAATAGGCCATAGATAAGATAGGTGAGGTAAAACATCATGCTTTAATAGAATAGCATTTGCAATAATAGAAATATAAAAATTAACATGTCAGATTTGGAAAAGCGGAGGGTTGGGGGGGTACTACTGATGTACCAGACAGGGAAGACATCATCGAAGTTGTTTTGGGAGGTGAGAAAGTAGGACAGTCATAGCCAGAGGGAACACCGGTCACATAGGGCAAACCTTGTCAGAAAAGGCGGCACAGGTACCACTGCGTGACATCTGCTACCTTTGCAGGAGCCAACTGTTCATACTCTGTACCCCTCTAACTTTCTTCCTCTCCTTTACTGTGCTCTTCTTTTTGTCTTTAATTTCTTTCTGTGCTATATGTTTTTCAGTTAGATCTACTTGAAGTTGATCCCTGGTGTTAGTCCCCTTAGCACAGTTGTTCTCAACCTTGACTGCACATTAGAATCACCTGGGAATCTTTTTTAAATCCTGATTTCTGAACCTCATCCTCCAGAAATTCTGTTTCTTTGATACTGATGTTGCGGCCCCACCCCATAACAAAGAAACAGAATTTCCGGAGGATGAGGCCCAGAAATCAGAATTTTAAAAAGATTCCCAGGTGCTTCTAATGTGCAGCCAAGGTTGAGAACCACTGCCTTAACAGGAAAGGTCTACAAATTATCTGTTGTATTATTGTCATTTTTTAATGATACCTTAGTGAAGAGGCTGCATTCCAGTGGCACTTTCTTTGTCAGAAACTTTGTTTCTTCCTCTAACCAGAGTTAGAAATAATATAACAGCAACAAGGTTGATGTTTAAATACTAATTAAAATATTCAGTATGTTGTAAGAGAAAATATATCACTGTAAATCTTGCAACAGAGGGAGATGAAGGGAAGGGATGAGGCTGGATAAAGCAGAACATTAACCTAGCCTGGGG